GCTTGAGCCCAGGAGTTGGAGGTTGCTGTGAGCGTGATGCCAGGGCACTCTACCCAGGGGGATAGCTTGAGGCTCCGTCTCAAAAAAAAAAAAAGAAAAGAAAAAAAAAGAAAAATTTTAAAAAATAAGGGGACAAGAAATGGAGACTTAGAAATGGTTCAAAAAAGAGGAAAAACAGGTCAATAGATAACCTTAGAAACAAACCAAAAAAAAAAGCAAAAATTATGTTTCAAGAAGTAAAAGCTGGTTCATGCCTGTAATTTCAACACTTTGGGAGGCCAAGGTGGGAGGATTCCTTGAGGACAGTAGTTTGAAACTAGCCTGAGTAACAGAGTGAGACCTGATCTCTACGAAAAATAGCCAGGCATTGGCTCAGTGCCCATAGCTCAGTGAGTAGGACACCAGCCACATACACCAAGGCTGGTGGGTTCAAGCCCAGCCTGGGCCTGCTAAACAACAATGACAACTGCAACCCAAATAGCCGGGTGTTGTGGTGGGTACCTGTAAGTCCCAGCTACTTGGGGGGCTGAGGCAAGAGAATCTCTTAAGCCCAAGAGTTTGAGGCACTTTACTGAGGGCAACATGTGAGACTGTCTCAGAAAAAAAAAAAAATAGCCAGATATGGTAGCATGTGCATTAAGTTTAGCCACTCAAGAGGATGAGGCAGGAAGATTGCTTGAACCCAGGGTTTTGAGGTTACAGTGAGCCATGATGACACCACTGCACGCTCTACCCCAGGCAACTATCTCAAAAATAATAATAATAATAAATAAAAATAAAGAAGTAAAGACTGGCCAGGTGCAGTGGCTTGCACCTATAATCCCAGCTACTCAGGAGGCTGAAGCAGGAGGATCATTTGAGCCCAGGAGTTTGAGACCAGCCTGGGCAACATAGTGAAATCCTATTTCTAAGAAAAAAGGGAAAAAAATTAATCAACTGTGGTAATGAGCAACAGTAGTCCCATATACATGGGAGGTGGAGGCAGGATGATCCCTTGAGCCCGTGAATTTGAGGATGCAGTGAGCTATGTGATTGGACCACTGCACTCCAGAGTGGGTGATAGAGCAAAAAAGCCTGTCTCAAAAAAAAAAAGAAAAAAAAAAGTAGTACAGGCTGGTCAGCAATGTCAAATAAATTATACAGATTTTGATGAATACGATTCTTAAAGAAAAGAGAGTGGTGGGGCAGCACCTGTGGCTCAAGGAGTGGGGCACCAGCCCCATATACCAGAGGTGGTGGGTTCAAGCCCAGCCCTGGCCAAAAACTGCATATAAATAAATAAATAAAATTTAAAAAAAAAAAAAAGAAAAAAAGAAAAGAGAGTGGTTAGTAAATAGTATCAAGAGTTTCAAATCTTTGAATTTTACATGTCAAAGACTTCCAAAATCAACTCTATTTGCCAAATAACAATTTTTTAAAAAGCTATTACTCTTGGTCATTAGATCTTTAATCTCTTCAACAATAACTTCATTTGCTGCTGTTAACAGCTCGTATTTTCCATCTTTACTTCCTGTGGGATTAAATTCAGGAGGAGGGTTGCCAGGGTCTCCGAAGAAGTCCCCAAGTCTGCCGTTTTTCCCAGGATATAAAAATCGACTGAAACAGCAGAGGGAAAAAGTCCAGTTACACCAGGATGCACTGCCCATACTCTTACTCATGCACAGAATGAAATTCAACAGAGAAAACAAAATCATACCAATTTTGGACTCACAAGATTCTACAATAAATTTCATTTTTAAAAAATGTATAAAATAGGTAAATCAATAAACATTTGTCTATCACTACAGAACGTTTTCATGGTTCCAGTGCTTTCTGAATAATGAGCGAAAATAAGAGGGTCTTGGGCTATAGTCTCCTGAAATGCTTCAGGTGAAGTCCACACTTTCTTTTCTCAGATGATAATCTCAAGAGATTGCCACCAAATTCTAATTTACTACTAGTTTATTTGAGGTACATATTATCTACCCTAGTAATACAAATCTGGCCCAAGGGTCCGTGAAAACATTCTCCTGTGCTTCATGACATTTAAGGTAATCACAAAGAGGACACTTTTGATTGGATGGAAAGAAGGAAGGGAGGGAGGGAGAGAAGGAAGGGAACGGAGAAAAGGAAAGAGGGAGTGGAAGGAAGCAAGGGAGGAAGGAGAGAAATAAAAGGAAGGAAGGAAAGAAGAAAAAGGGAAGGAAAGGAAGAAAGGAGGGAAAAAGGGACGGAGGGAAGGAGAAGAAAACAAACTCTAGCTTTTCCCCCAATTCTAAGAAAAATACACAGTGAGGATGAGAGTAGGTGCATGAGCTTGGTGGCCTGTGGGCTCCCCACCAGAGGAAGCAGTCCTAAGAATTAAGAAAATTTGAGACATAGTCACTAATCTCAGGTAAAACATGTTGGTGAACAAGAGTCACTTCTATTATGATGTGACAGATAAGACACAGAAGAGCTGTATCTCACATGAGGATTCAGTTCTACATTCAATGCATAATATGACAAATAAATATGATCAAAATTATTCATGAAGGCTCGGCGCCTATAGCTCAACGGGCTAGGGCGCCAGCCACGTACACCTAAGGTGGCGGGTTCGAATCCCCAGCCCGGACCCGCCAAACAACAATGACGGCTGCAACCAAAAAATAGCCGGGCGTTGTGGAGGGCGCCTGTGGTCCCAGCTACTTGGGAGGCGGAGGCAGGAGACTCGCTTGAGCCTAGGAGTTGGAGGTTGCTGTGAGCTGTAATGCCACGGCATTCTACCCAGGGGGGCAGCTTGAGGCTCTGTCTCAAAAAAAAAAAAAAAAAAAAAAAAGATTAAAAAAAAAAAATTATTCATGAAAACGTGTCATATATGTGGCCGTATTGCACATCAGCTGCAGACTAATGGCACTATCTTGCAGTGAGTCCAACAGAGTCAATTTTTATACCAATACTAGAGAAGATAATTATTTCTTCAGTCAAATATCACATGGAATAGTTGGCTTGGGTTTAAAAGCCAGTGTAAACACAAAAAGTCACCCACAGAGCAGTGAAATAGTCACACCTTGAAAGGTACACAGAGCTACTGGCTGAAGGGAAAACAGAATCAAACCTTACATTGTATCCCCTATCTGGGGCAGACATATACTGAAAAGACAGGTGAAAGGAAATACCAGCCCAATTTGATAGTTTCTTCTCCTTTTCTGCCTAGATAATATAATTCAACCTGTGTAAATAAATTATGCCACTGTACAACTCTACTATCTAGCAGGTAATGTGGTTTTCAATATTCATAGTTGTCAAAATATACAGCTACTTGTTCTTGCTGCTGTATCTGATATTCACTGGGTAGAAAAGATTTTCTTTTGCAACATACAGTAGGAACAATACCTGCCACTTGGCACAAAAATCTCATGAATGTTCAGTACTGAATAGAAAAAATAATCATAATGGCCATACCTTTCATGAATATGACTTGCTATCACAGCAAGTTTGTTAGAACGATTCATGAATAAATGGGAATTTCCCATCACCATCACAGCATCTATGCATTTGGATAAAGTAAACTGTTGAAAAATAGAAGACATCAGAAAAACAAATTAGCTATCCAAATAATTGTCAGGTCTTAACTTAGGCTTTCACCGAAATTTTAGATAATTATTCTCTGCTAAAAATTTATGTAGGAACATAAACAAAGTTTTCTACTTAGATCTTTCTACTTTCTACTAAGTTTTATTTAGATCATTCCTTCATCACCACAATATTCCACAAACATTTTTTGCATGACATTTAGAGAATAACAAACATGTCACATCTTCTGTGATAAAATTACTAGTAAACTACTTCTACATGTGGAATGGATAATACATACTGAATAAATTGGAGATTTGCAAAAGTTTTCAGTTAATTTTTTTCACTCAATATGCTACTATATGCCAGGCAAAGATCCCTTCTTTCATGGAGTTTACATCTCAAGTTACTAAATATTACTAAGAAAAACAAGTGGATATTTTTATAATACTGGAATAAGGCCTGTTTCTCTTCAAAACATAAATATTTCAGGTAAAAAGAATGGATAGGCTGGGCGCCTGTAGCTCAAGTGGCTAAGGCACCAGCCACATAAACCAGAGCTGGCGGGTTTGAATCCGGCCCGGGCTTGCCAAAGAACAATGGTAACTACAACCAAAAAATAGCTGGGTGGGCTCGGTGCCTATAGCTCAACCGGCTAAGGTGCCAGCCACGTATACCTAAGGTGGCGGGTTCAAATCCCCAGCCCAGACCCGCCAAAACAACAATGATGGCTGCAACCAAAAAATAGCCGGGCGTTGTGGCTGGACCTGTGGTCCCAGCTACTTGGGAGGCGGAGGCAGGAGACTCGCTTGAGCCCAGGAGTTGGAGGTTGCTGTGAGCTGTGATGCCACGGCACTCTACCCAGGGGGACAGCTTGAGGCTCTGTCTCAAAAAAAAAAAAAAAAGGATAAATTTCAGCCTATTGAAAAAAAATATAAATCTATTAAAATTTTCACATAACAAAAAATGACACTATAATCAAAAGGGAAAGGCAAGTTAAAAGAAAGCTGGAAAAAAATACTTGCAATATAAGATGAGCAATGGATTAACCCTTTTAATATAAAAAGGATTCACAAATCAGTAACTTTTTTTTTTTTGAGACAGAGTCTCACTTTGTCGCCCTTGGTAGAGTGCTGTGGAGACATAGCTCTCAGTAACCTCAAACTCTTGGGCTCAAGTGATTGTCTTGCCTCAGTGCCTCCTGAGTATGTGGGACTACAGGCACCTGCCACAACGCCTGGCTATTTTTAGAGACAGGGTCTCGCTCTTGCTCAGGCTGGTCTCAAACCCATGAGCTTAGGCAATCCACCTGCCTCAGCCTTCCAGAGTGCTAGGATTTATAGGCATGAGCCACCTTGCCCAGCCTCAAATCAGTAATTAAAAAAAACACACTCACACACAAACCTATGAACATCCAAAGAAAAAATGGGCAAGGGAGGCACCTGTGGCTCAAAGGAATAGGGCGCCGGCCCCATATGCCGGAGGTGGTGGGTTCAAACCCAGCCCTGGCTAAAAACTGAAAAAAAAAAAAAAAAGAAGAAGAAAAAATGGGCAGTGACCCAAGAAAGAAATAAAAATTGCCATAAAATACACGAAAAGCAAATTGAGAGTGCATTGTTTTTTGCATATTATATTGACAAAAGATAAAACAAGAAGAGAGAATATCTTGTAGCTGGTACAAGAAGAAAGGCATTCTCACATGCCATTGATGAGAGTGCACAAAGACAGCTTTCTGGAGAGTAACAGGGAGAATAAAAAGTAACAGAGAGTAACATGCTGAGATATGCTGGAAAATGTTTAACTACTCACGCCCAAAACACTAGGTATACATATGTTTCTTTCAAACATTACTGATATAAAGGGGTCTTTTTTTGATATAGGGGTTTTTTAAACATTATTTACAAATAATGATGAAATATACAATACTCTTTATGGTAAATTCAGTGGAGCCAAGTGATTCTCATAGAATGCCTATGTTGATTTTTGCTGAATTCTTGTATTCCTAGTAAACTCATGGTTTCAACTGAAAGCGTATGTATAGTTCTGATATAAATATTGTGTGATATTTTTGTTTTATGTTATCAAATTAAGAGGGATGCCAAATGATTATACTTGGTATAAGCCAAGGCTGGGGAAACTGCAGCTTTAAGGCCACATGTGGCCTTCTAAGTCCTTAAGTGCGGCCTTTTGACTGAATCCAAATCTTATGGAATCATCTTTTATATTTTTATTTTATTTTTAAAATGAACCTATTCGAAATACCAAAGAATAAAGTAAATTCCAACAAAATAATACTCCCAGATTGACTGGCACAATTAGAACACTAGTGAGCGTGACCAGGCTTGGTGCCTCACGCCTGTAATCCCAGCACTCAGGGAGGCCGAAGCAGGTGAACGGCTTGGGCTCAGGAGCTCAGTACCAGTTTGAGCAAGAGCAAGACCCTATATCTACTGAAAATAGCAAAAAAGTAGCTGGGCCACAGTGGTATACACCTGTAGTCCCAGCTACTCGGAAAGCTGAGGTAAGAGGATTACTCAGGCCCAAGAGTTTGAGGTTGCTATGAGCACTCTACCCAGGGTGACAAAGTGAGACTCTGTCAAAAAAAAAAAAAAGGAAAGAAAGAAAAGAAAAAGAAAAAAACACTAGTGAGCCATAAGGACTCAATTGATGGCTGCTATGCTCATGATTTAGTTTTAACTTTCCCCACCTGACTGGTGCCACCACCACAGGAGACTGGTTGGTAAGAGTTTATGGAGGTCAAGTACACCACTCAGCTTTTGACAATGGTGCACTGTGTTTCTGTTTGAAGTGGAATTTGTGAATAGTTGCTAATTCTGCCTGCTTAATGGTCCATCGTGTCAAAGACCAAAAGAATGCTGAAGATGTTTTAATGAGGATTGGGAATTGCAATATTATCTTGTTTCTGATAAAGATAAGATGATTTGTTTGCTTTGTGATACTACAATATCAACGTCAAAAAAATTCAATCCTCATCAGCATTATAACATGCATAAGGACCCAAAATATTTTAGAGGGAGAGGCATGAAAGATTGTATTACAGAAATTAAAGGATGAAAACCAAAAGCAGCCCAAGAGTGGTGGCTCACGCCTATAATACTTGAGCTACAAGCGCTGAGCCCAGGGCAGTTTCTAAAAAAGTTACACATACTATACCTATATAACTCAGCTATGCTATTACCAAATATGTACCCAAAGAAATGAAAACACTGTAGGCGCAGTGTCTCATGTCCGTAGTCCTAGCACTCTGAGAGGCTGAGGTAGGTGGACTGCTTGAGCTCAGGAGCTCCAGACCAGCCTAACTAAAGCAAGACCCCATCTCTGCTAAAAACAGAAAAATTAACTGGGCATGGAGCTGTGCACTTGTAGTGTCAGCTACTTGGGAGGCTGAGACAAAAGGACTGCCTGAGCCCAGGAGTTTCTGTCAGCTAGGTTGAGGCCAGGGCCCTCTAGCCTGGAGCAACAGATTGAGACTCTGTGTCAAAAAAAAAAAAAAAAAAGAGAGAGAAAGAAGAAAGGAGGGGAGGGAGGGAAGAGGAGGAAGAGAAAACATACATTCCCAAAGACTTGTAAACAAATGTTCACAGCATCTTTACCTCTATTTTTCTTTTTTTTTTTTTTTGAGACAGAGCCTCAAGCTGTCGCCCTGGGTAGAATGCCGTGGCATCACGGCTCACAGCAACCTCCAACTCCTGGGCTCAATCGAATCTCCTGCCTCCACCTCCCAAGTAGCTGGGACTACAGGTGCCCACCACAATGCCTGGCTATTTTTTGGTTGCAGCCATCATTGTTGTTTGGCGGGCCC